AGCACAGTGCCCAACGCTTCACATGCAGTCATTTGGTGGGTGAGAACATCAACGCCCTGGGAAAATCACAGGACCTGTCACTGTCACAGACACAATGAAAACACAGGTCCGCTGCTCCCAACTCATTCCACCACGTTGCTTTCTTCAGTTCTGTTCAATAAACCAGAGCAAAATGAGTAAGACAGAGCCCCTGCCCTCAAGGGACTGGTGGGAAAGGCGAGGATATAAATGACTGTGATGTTAAATAATAATAAAACCTATAAATAAGGCCATGAGAGGACACTATGCCCTCCAAACATCATTTGGTCATTGTTACACAAGCCCACCCAAGGATTACTTAATTACCTAGGGGAGAGATTTCTGTTTGACTTGGTTATTTACCATTAAGGGCTCAGACTCTGTCAAGTTACATATTAACTTGTAGATTGTGTCCAGTAAAGATGTTAATAATTTCAGGGCGCCTGGCTGGCTCAGTCGGGAGAGCATGCAACACTTGATCTTGGGGTCATAAGTTCAAGCCCCACGTTGAGTGTAGAGATTACTAAAAAAAACAGATAAATAGGGGCACCTGGGTGGCTCAGTTGGTTAATCGTCTGCCTTCAACTCAGGTCATGATCCCAGGGTCCTGGGATTGAGTCCCACGTCGGGCGCAGCGGAGAGTCTGCTTCTCCCTCTGCCCCCCGCCCCTGCAACTCATTCTCTCAATCTCCCTCTCTCTCTCTCAAATAAATGAATAAAAATCTTTAAAAAGTAAACAAACTTTAAAATATATATACAAATAATTTCTATCAAATAGAAAAGATAATTTCCTTTTTCAAAGACTGATTTTATAATTGCCCTATAGGACATCAACCAGTTTTGTTTTATTTTTTAATTGTGATAAAACACACCTAACATAATATGTTACCATTTTAACCACGCTAAAGGGTACAGCTCTATGGCATGAAGTATATTCATATTGTGGTGCAACCTTCACCACAATCCATCTCCAGAACTTTTCATCCTGCAGAACTCAGTTCCCATTAAACAATACCTCCCCATTCCTCCCTCCCCTAGGACCTGGCAACCACATTCCACTTTCTGTCTCCATGAATTTGACTACTCTAGCCCTTCATATATGTGGAATCATATGGATTTGTCTTCTTGTGAGTGGTTTATTTTGTCTACAAGGTTCATCCATGTTGTAGCTGTATTGGAATGTCTTTCTTTTTTAAAGCTGAATAATATTCCATTATATGTACAACCCACAATTTGCTTATCCATCCACCTGTCAACGGATACTTGGGTTGCTTTCACATTTTGGTTATCATAACTAATGCTGTGAATATGAGTGTGCAAATATCTCTTCAAGATCCTGCTTTCAGTGCTTATGGATATATACGCAGAAGTGGAATTGTTGGATCATGTAATAATTCTATGTTTAATCTTTGAGGAACCACCACACTGTTTTCCACAGGGGCTGTACCATTTTACAATCCCACCAATAGTGCACAAGGGTTCCAATTTCTCCAGATCCTTGCCAATACTTGTTACTTCTTGGTTTTATTTTGGGGGTTGTTTTTGGTCCTAATGGGTGTGAGGTAGTATCTCATTGTGGTTTTGATCTGCATTTCCCTAATGATTAGTGATGTTGAGCATCTTTTCACATGTTTGTTGGCCATCGGTACACCCTCCTTGGAGAAATGTCTATTCAAGTTCTTAGCTCATTTTTAAAATCAGGTTATATGGTTTGTTGTCGTTGACTTGTAGGAGTTCTTTACATATTCTGGGTATTAACCCCTTATCAGATACATGATTTGCAAATGTTTTCTCCCATCCTATGGGCTGTCTTTTCACTCTGTTGATAGTGTCCTTTAATGCACAAGTTTTTGGCTGTTGGTGGTGGTTTTTTTTTTTCAGATTGATTGATTGATTTTAGAGAGAGAGAGAGTGCAAGCCAGGGGAGGGGCAGAGGGAGAGGGAGAGAGAGAGAATCCTCAAGCAGACTCCCCGTTGATCGTGGAGCCCAACTCGGGGCTCCATCCCAGGACCCTGAGATGAGGACCAGAGCCAAAATCAAGAGTGGGATGCCCAACCTACTGAGCCACCCAGGTGCCCTGCAAAAGTTTTTAATTTTGATATAATTCAATTTATCTTTTGTTTCCTGTGCTAATAGTGTCATATCCAAGAAATCATTGCCAAATGAAATGTCATGAAGCTTTTCCCTTATGTTTTCCTCTAAGAGTCTTTAGTTTTAGCTTTTACATTCAGGTCTTTGACCCATTTGAGTTCATTTTTTTATACTGTGTAAGGTGAGACTCCGACTTCATTCTTTTGCATGTTGATATTCAGTTTTCTCAATTCCATTTGTTGAAAAGATTGTGGAATGGTTTTGGACCTCTTGTCAAAAATCATTTGTCAAAAATACATATAAATACACATATCATTTGGCCACATACGTAAGTTTTGTTTTTAACCTAGGAATTTACTCAAACATTTCCTTCTAAGTGCTTATAAATACTCAGCTCCTCCAAATGCTCTCCGAACCAGCTTTGCCACCGTACGGGTTCCCTCACTCACAAGTTCCTCATGTTTGACACATGCCCATTCCATGTTTTACGAAAGCGATGTTTTTAAATGTTTGAACATTAGGCTTTGATGGTAACATACAAAGGGCTACATCTGTCTTGGTGAAGATCACCTCTGGTTGGGGGATTCAAAAACCTTTTCACCTCTGAGATCAGCCTTCTGATTAACAGGTAGACTTTTGGCAGGTAGAAATGGAGATCTGTGGCAGACATCAAAGACCTCAGGAACAGCAGGAAAGGTGTTCTCCTTCCTGTTGGCTTCCTTTCTTATGTGTCCTAGCCAGTAAAATCTAAGGGCCAACGCAGATGTGATACTTGCACACCAGCAAGCCTAGGAAAAAAGCCCTTCCCAAGGGGTCCCTATTACAGCTCTGGGATCGTGTGGCCCTTCCCAAACCCCCACCTCCAATTGTCCCCCTTCCCCTACCCCTCAAGAGGCTAGAAAGGTCCTGGGCCTTTCCTTCAACACTTCAGATTCATCTTCGATGCTGCTTTACCTGGGGAATCACATTTCCTGGCGTCTCAATTCCCCGACGTGGCGCATCCGTGAAATATCTCCCTGACAGACTCTAAATGTTACCAGCATTAATCACAGGGATAAACAGCAAACAAGCCCAAGACAGGGCAGCCATCTCTGTCGGACCCAAAGTGGTATTAATCAGAAAACTTACTTCTGGCCACAGAGCACGAGCCCCACAGCCCTCGAATGACCTTTGCTTTGGCAGCAAAAAGCAAGGCCCGAGAACTTGCTGCTCATTTCCCTAGACATTCTCCAGGGAAGTCTCCAGGGAAGGCTGCTGCCGAAGCCCCTCTCTCGGGGCTCTTCACTCTGGAGTGTGCTTCTGCCCCTGGTTGAAGGGAAGGGTCAAAATTTCATGCTGAGACTTGTGTTTTCTGAAGATCTCAGGTATGCATGTTCCTTCTTGAGCTTTTGAGATCACACTGCTGTGGGCCCCAGGCCTTCCTAATGCAGACTTCCTAACCCCTGGTTGTGGCGTCTTCTTGGGCTCTCGGTGGTCACCGCAGCCTGCACTGGCCCGACACTCTGGATGTCCCAGCTTCTGACTAGCCAAGAGACCGTCACTGGCCTCACCTCTCCTCTCCTCCCTGGAAATTCAAGCCCGGCGGGAAGCATGAGGAGCCTCGGCAGAGCCTGAGTCCCGTGTGCTGCTGGGCCCCTCGGCCCCCGCTTGCCGTCTCCTCCACCTATCCCTGAGCCTCAGCTGCCCAGATGCCCTGACTGAGGCCTCCGGATGGTCCAGCCCCTCAGCCTTTGTGGGGCCACTACAACTAGCAAAGGCCATCTCCCCCTTGGGGTCAGCAGGGCTACCTAAGGGACTAACCGAGGACGGAATGAGTGGGGTGGACAGAAACACAGCAGTCTGGAAGCTGTCCAGGGTTGTCTGGACTCCTTTCAGTCTGAGTAACCTGCACACACTGGGTGGGGATTGAGGGCAGGCGCAGGGGCAGCCAGGCTGCACCTGATTCACCTTCACTAAGTAACCTTGGGCGAGTCACTCCACCTCTCTAAGCCGCAGTTTCCAAATCTGTAAGGTGGTGCTGATGATAACATCTCATAAAGCTGCTGGAGAGTGAGAGTAAAACACTTAGTACAGCACCGGGCAATGATCAGTCCCCAGCAAATGTTAACTATTTTGGGGGAGTCAAGGGTGGATTTTGTCCTGTTTGTGTGGTTGTGTGGATATAAGAAATAGAAAGTCTTAGGGAAAGGACAAGGAAAAAGACCAGAGAACTTGCTGCTGGTTTCCCTAGACATTCTCTTTGCTGATCGATGTTTCCACCAACTCGTAAAGGAGGTTAGTCCTAATTTCATATTCGCTTGTCCAGAGAGTGATAAACTGTTATCCCCTTAAAGTAATCCACACTGCTTTCAGATCAGCCCTTCTCCGTCTTGACAGATGGGATTATATTCATCTCGCTTCCCCTTTAGCAATTGAAAAGATCAATGAGACATTAGTCTCCTTGCTTCTGACTTTCTCCTGGGGGAAAATGCTGATGGTCCAGAATTAATGTGGCAATTGATTTACTGTGTGGTGTCTAAAGGCAGGCGGACAAGCTCTCCCACCAGTGGGAGGAGAGGTGGGGGAAGGCAGCCGTGGGCCACTGTATGGGACTGGCTCAGGGGACTGTGTTGTCTAAACTGGGGGAGAAAATAGTTTGCAGAGCAGCCAACTGATCTGGGACCTACACCCTAGGGACTGGCTGCCCCTAGCCTTGGAGTGCCCAAAGCCAGGGACACTTTCAAGTTCTACGTCCTTGACAAGTTATTGACCTCTCCTCTCCTTCATCCATAGAGTGGGGATACAGATTCCCCATCACAGGATGATTGTGGGATCAAAATGAGGTAATGTGTGTGAACAGGTGTGCTTTGTAGATGTCGGTTTTTCATTTTCAGGTGCAAGAGTAAAGGCAATGCTCTTGAATGAGAAACTGACCAAGTTTACAGACGTTAAAACCGAGGCCGAGAAAGAGGAAATCCGTAACAGTCAGTAAGTTAGGAAGACCATCCACCATCTTCACTGCTATTGACGCCTGAGATCACCATTGTTTCTACTGGTTCCTTGGGGCAGAGAAATGCACAGATGAAGGGGCGGAGAGGGTCAGTTTCCTGGGATCTCCAGAAGGGATTCCTTCTCTAACAGAACAAACATTTACTGAACACCTGCTGTGGGCCAGATGCTTTTCTAGGGACCATGGAGAGTGAGGACCACACACTCAAGTCTGAAAAGGCCTCGGCTGCGAGAGTTCGGTGTTTCTCTCTTGGTCCTCTTGCCCCCCCCCACCCCATCTTCTCCTTCCCAGAAGCAGCTCTGTCTGTCCCTGACAGGCCTGGGGAGGGACAGATGCTCCCCCCCACTCCAAGTCCTCTCCTGAGAACCTGGTGCCTGGAAATGGCAGTGTTGACCCCAAGCTCCAGGCGGGGCCAGACGTGCAGGCTGTCATGGGTGATCATCATTGGTCTGAAAAGTTTCTCTTTCTCGAAATAAAACGTGGGGCTTTTTTTTACACTATCTACCTTATTTGCTGTGTAGAACACAAGCTCCTTTCCTAGGGAAGCTCTGCTTGATTTACTAGTGCTCCCAGCATAGAGTTTGGCGAACCAGGACTGTGAAATCCGTACGGAAATGGAACTGTAGACCAACAGTGAGACCACAGCATGAAGTTGGTAGTCACGTGGCCTCTGAGAGGGCTCGGGATGCCCTTATTTCTGGGAGCACAAAGCAAAATGACCAATGCTCTAAAATGATGTTGGGAAACTGGTGGGACTGGGGAAGCCCGAAAGTTCAGTCTCAGAGTCCAGCGACAAAGCTCGGAACCCCACAGGTGGAAAACGCCACCACCAGCCCTGCCCCTGGCCTGTCACAGCACCCTGCCACCTCTGTGTCAGGAACCTTTCCCTACAACCACCCCCTAGACCCCTCACCCCCCAGCCACCCCTCTAAGGCCGCCCTTGCCAGCAAAGTGCAGTTTTCCCAGAGCCTCTGAGGTCTCGTGTAGGTGAGCGTAAGCAGTGAGGCATGGATCACCTGCCTGGCTTTAGTGCAAAGGTGGCCGAGGAGGAAATGTTCGGCATTCTCGATCTGATATGAAGGTGCCCTGAACATAGTAGAGGCATTCATAGGGGGCTGGGCAGCAAGACAGCATTTCAAGTGTCTCTTACAGAGGGCTTCTTGCTTTGCAGAGGGGGATCTTGCTTTGCAGGAGGAGCGCCACCCCCCAACCCCTCTGCAGCTAGGCAACCTTCTGCTCCCTGGCAAAGGGGAGGGGAGTGCTCTCTGCTCTTTCTTCTGCATGAGCCCTGTCTGTAAAACCTCCTTTCCTGGGGCACCTGGGTAGCTCCGTCAGTTTAGGGACCAACTCTAGGTTTCAGCTCAGGTCATGATCGTCGTGAGATCGAGCCCCACGTCAGGTTCGTGCTCAGCGCAGAGTCTGCTCAAGATTCTTGCCTTCAGGGCACCTGGGTGGCTCAGTCAGTTAAGCGTCTGCCTTCAGCTCAGGTCATGATCCCAGGGTTCTGGGATCGAGCCCCGCGTTAGACTCCCCGCTCAGTGGGGAGCCTGATTCTCCCTCTCCCTCTGCCTCCCCTGGCCCCACTCATGCACTCTCTCTCTCTCTCTCTCTCTCTCTCGCTCACTCTGCACTTTCTCTCCAATAAATAAATTCTCCAAAAAAAAGAAAAAACTTAAAAAATAAAAGATTCTTTCTCTCCCCTCTCCCGCTCCCGCTCCCCCTCCCCCCCCCCACATGGTCTCTCTCTCTCTCTCTCTCTCTCTTTCTCAAATAAATAAATAAATCCTTAAAAAAAGAATAAATTAAAACACCGCTTTCTTTCCTACTCCATAAGTCAGCTCCAACTGCTGGTAACTATGAGCCCTGAATGACAGTTGAGTTCAAATGTGCCCCAGCTGTCATTTCTTATGGTCCCAGCAACGACAAGGGCTTCCCTTTGTTCAGGGCTGGCGCTGGTGCTGGGGACCGTGCTCCCGGCTCCACGTTAATTGTCCGCCAGAATCCTCACACCGCCACGCCGAGGCAGGCGCTCTTCTTATCTTCACGGATTGTGGGGAAGAGTGGGGACATCAAGGCATGAGAAGACTCGTCCAAGGTCTTCCGAAAGGGTAATTAAATGCCGAGACAGTAGCTAAGCGCTGGAAGCCACATGAGGATGCGACAGCCGGTGGCGGCCATCCCAGAGGAAGCTTCCCCCTCTGCTCTCCCAGGTGGGACAGGGCAGGTCATCTCCTCTTCACAACATTCTCTTCTCTGAAATAAGGACCAGCACCACCTCACCAGGTTCGTGGATGGGGAAGTAAAGACACTGTCCAGGAAAGGATTTTTCCACAATGGTGGGTTTTTTCGCAAGATTACTGACCATGGGACGTACCATTCGCCCACAAGCATGTTCTCTGAAACCCACCTGGGGTGACAGGGATGCACGTCAGGTAGACAGTGATATGTAGCCGAAGAAGCTAGAGGCCGGCGTTGGGCTAAAAGCCTCAGCGCACAGGCCTGCACTGCAAATACATTTCAATACAGGTAATTTCTTTTCCGTTCGTTTTCGAGTTCTTATTTCATTTACACTATTCCAAGGCCGATCAATCTTGACATTAAGGCTGATTTGATGTGTGGTACAGACGGTCGAATTAAGGATAAGATATTTTATCAGCTCCTCTAAATTTTCTTTTCTCTGGTCGACGATTTTTTATACTGCGTTGATCTTTTTTTTATTCATAAGGGCTTCATTCCCATTTGTCATGGCAGCATTAACTGGGCATCTAATGAAGGCTTGGATATGGAAGTCTGCACCTCATTTATCCTCAATAGCAAAATTAATTATTAGCAAAATTTATCCTCAATAGCAAAAGCATCAGGAAAATAGTTTCCTAAGCTGGAACTTCTCTAGCCCACCCTGAGTCATCTAAAATATATTTTGCTTGTGTCTTCCAGGATTGGGACTCGGCCGGACACTTTGGGAGACAGTGCCCCATTTCAACTTCTGTCAACTGACAGTCCATGCCCTACCCCCTGCCCAACTCGTTGTTTGGAGAGGCTTGGGTTAGAATGGCCAGGAGCCTATTCTCGTGCTCATTCCCTCTACACACACTTATTGAGCACCTTCTATAGGCCAAGCTCAGGGATATAAAACAGACTCAAGAAGGTCATAGCCAAGGGAGTCATGCCACCATTATTGGCCAATGTCCAATTCAAAACCAAGGGGGTCATGCCACCACTGTTGGCCAATGTCCAATGTAAGGAAAACAGTTAGCCAAGTATCAAAATTGGGAGCAAGATGGAAAGATTATCTGCTCTATCCTTTTGCCTCTGGTAAGGCGATCTTCTCAACCAGTGTTTCCATTAAGGGCTGCCAAATGTCTGCTATCACAGACATTGACTTTGACTTACAGACTTTCTGGATGTACGAGTATAGTGGTTTCCCAGGGCTGTCATAACAAAGTACCACAAACTGAGTGGCTTAAACAACAGAAATTTATTCTCACAGTTCTGGTGAGCAGCTGTCCAAAATCAAAGCATCGGCGGGGTTGGTTCCTTTTGACTGCTGTGAGGAAGAGATCTGTTCCAGGCCCCTCTTTTGGCTTGCAGATGGTGGTCTTCTCCCTGTATTTCCCTGTATCACTGTCCCTTCTGGGGATGTCTCTGTGTCCAAATCCCCTCTTTTTAAGACACCCGTCATATGGGATTAGGGCCCACTGTAATGAACTGATTTGAAGGATTATCATTGAAAAGGCCCTATTTCCAATAAGGTCACATTCTGAAGTACTGGGAGCTAGGACTTAACCACATGAATTTTAGGGAGACACAATTCAACCTGTAACAGTGAATGTCTCTGAGGTTGTTTTAAAGAGAGGTCTAAAACAGCCTCCAGCAGCACAATATAGTTAGAGCCCTGGGTGGAAGGTGAAGAGTCTGAAGTTCAAGTTCTAAATTAGCCACTTCCCCTCTCTGAGCCTCAGATCTCTTCTCCAAAGAGCAGGAGATCTGGATGGGGTCTCCAAAGCCCTGTTACCTTTCCAGGATCGTATTGCTGATGAAGTGAGAGAAGTTGAGGCCATGTAGTAGGGAAGTCCATGGTGAGGCTCCACTACTTACAACTAGGGTGATCCTGAGCAAGCGTTGACCTTCTGAGCCTCAGGGGGTTTTAACTGCGAAATGGGGAGAGTGATAGGAGCTACTTCAAAAAGTTGTGAGGACTGTACAAGGGAAAATCATTCAGCCACAAAAAGAAGGAAATCTTGCCATTTGCAAGGATGTGGATGGAGCCAGAGTATTATGCTAAGCAAAATAAGTCAGAGAAAGACAAGTACCATATGATTTCATTCATATGCAGAATTGAAGAAACATAACAAGCAAAGGGGAAAAAAAATAAGAGAGAGAGACAAAGAGAAACCAAGAAAGAGACCTAATTATAGAGAACAATCTGATGCTTACCAGAGGGGAGCTGGGTGGAGGGATGGGTTAAATAGGTGATGGGGCTTGAGGAGGGCTCTTGTTGTGATGAGCACCGGGTGCTGTACGGAAGTGTTGAATCGCTATAGTGTACACCTGAAACTAATATTATACTGTGTATTAACTATACTGGAATTAAAAAAAAAACTTTAAAAAATACAGAACATAAATATTCTACTAAAAACAAAATAAAACAAAAAACAAAAAAGGCTGTGAGAATTAATAAGGCCCGTGGATTGCCCGAAACACAGTTGTCACTCATGCACATGAACCGTGAATGGTATTATTACTGCTCTTAGTAGTGGCGGTCAGGCTTTGGATCTCGGACTCAGCTCTCTGGTGGCGTCCGCTGTCAGAAGGCAGGGACCCAGTGTCCCATCCAGTGGCTCCCATGGAGTGAGATGCTTTAGCGCCAACATTCTGGTGACCCTTGTGATATGCCTTTTCCCAGCTCCACCTTACCCAAATACTATCCCATTCATTCACATTCGTGTCATTCTGGTTAGGGCTGGGATTTCAGGTGATGTTTCCTCTCACTGTATTTTATAATTTTTATACCATACAAAAGTGTAATAAACCATATTCAGGGGCGCCTGGGTGGCTCAGTCGGTTAAGCATCTGCCTTCGGCTCAGGTCATGATCCCGGGGTCCTGGGATCGAGCCCCACGTCGGGCTCCCTGCTCAGTGGGGAGGAGCCTGCTTCTCCCTCTCCCTCTGCCTGCAACTCCCCATGCATGTGCTCTCGCTCTCTAGCTCTCTCTGTCAAATAAATAAAAATCTTAAAAAAAAACATATTTAATTAGGGCATTTAACATAGCTCTGCGGAGTAGCTGTGTAAATCCAGCCCTCGACCTCCCTCCCCCATGAACTAGACTGCTGGAGGTATGCCTCAGCGTTTGGCTCTGACCTTCATTGAACTGTTCCTTATTTTCTCATGCGTGTCCTCACCTAAACTGTAAACAATTTGAGGAAACAAACAGGACTTTTTGCTCAGATTTAGCAGAGCTGATTTACTGACTCCCACAGTGCACCAGCTCCTCTGATGTAAAGCATCTCGTATAATCGTCCCCACCACCTCAGGAGGCAGGTCAAGGTACTGTCAAATCACAGAGGAGCCCCTGAAGCTCAGAGGTCACACAGGTAGGCGGTGGTCAGGAATTCTGCCTCAAGCCTAATGCTATCCTCACCAAGCTGCACCAGCTCAGCAGATCTATGGATCTCTTTCCTTCCCCTGGGATCCTCCAGCCTGAGCAGGGTTTTCCATGGCCGTGGTGCCCCCTAGTGGCTTAAGAGGGCCCATTCCCCAGCCAGGTTTCAGGCTCATTCCATGGGACATTGAGCACTTGACAGAGTGACCAACAGGGCTGGCCCTGGGGTAGCCGACCCTGTGCACCCAAGGGAGAACGAGACCCTCTACCCGAGCTGTGCTTCTTCAGTGGACCCCCCCAGGAGGACTCTGCTCCTGATAGGCCAAGGAAGATGAGCTAGGGTCTTTGGGGCCAACAGCAGAGAGAGGACCTAGAAGGTCTGGTTCCCCCAACTGTGCTTCTCACCTCCAACTTCGCAGTCAAGACATGTGGGCCATTCTCTGCTGGACCCTCCTGGGACTTCCATTTCCCACGAGCTCGTTTATGGAGAAGAGGATAAATGTGGCCAAAGTTTGGGACTTAAAGGTTTTTCTTCTTTTTTTAAGTAATCTCTACACCCAACATGGGGCTTGAACTCACAGCCCCAAGATCAAAAGTCGTACATTCCTCCAACCGAGCCAGCCACGTGCCCCATGACTTAAAGGTTCTTAACATGACACAGAGTTCCTTTCCCAAAAGACCCATCAAGATTCTTCAATAAATATTGAATCCTCATTGCATCCCACAATGCTCAGGATGCAGAAATGGAGGAGATACTTTTCTTATCTTTGAAAAAAGTAAACATATAAAGAATTACAATGCAATGAGGCAAGTCCTTGAATGTGGGACTTTTCCTGTTACCCCAGAAACGGATATCAGCACTCAAAACTGAGAAAAAGAATCGTCAATACCCCTGCCAACTCATGAAAGTAGAAAACAGTGTGGGGTCAAGCACTCTTCCAACCAACTTTTCTGAGAACACTTGAACCATCAATCCGGCTTTGAGATAATCAGAGATACCCGGGAGCTGCATTAGCCAATATGGCAGCCCATAGCCACACGTGGCTATTGAACACTTGAAGTGTGGCCAGTCTGAATTGAAATGTGCTGTGAAAAATATGCACTGGATTTTGAAGACTTAGTACAGGGGGGGAAAATGTAAAATATCTCATTAGTATTTTTAAATTGATTACATGTTGAAATAACAATATTTTGGACACATTAGTTGGATAAATAAAATATACCATTAAAATTAATTTCACCTGTTTTACTTTTTTGGTGTGGCTAGATTATTCAAAACTACAAATATGGCTCAAGTTATAGCTCTCTAGGATGGCCTGGCCCCGGAGCTTACAAAACGGGAGCTGAGAAGCCCTAGTCCAGGAAAGCTTGACAACGCATGGGACCATAGGGGGCGCTACCGCAGAGCAGCGCTTCCTCCCCAGAACTTCGGAGGGAAGCCGACTTTTAAAGGTAGTTTTAAGCTGCTTTTTCTAAAATTTAAATGGTCCATACTATGTTGACATAAAAAGTTTTTCTAGGCAGAAGTCCGAAACTCCTGAATTACATATTCAAGACTAGAATTTTAAGGAAGCTGCAAGTTTCACTATCACAGCTAGGGACATATCCTTTGACCCAGTAATTCCATTCTAGTAATTTATCATAAGAAAAATTTTAACGTGCACAAATATTTAGCTACGAAGATATTCACCCAGCATTTGTAATACCCTCCCCCCCCCTCCAAACCAACAACCAACTAACTGGATATTAATAAGGGATTAGTTAAATCATTTATGGTACAACTATATTATGGAATATTTTGTAACTACCACAACGGATGCAAATGAATACTTATTGACATGGAAAGACATTTATGCTAAATTCTGTGGAAAAGGCCAGCTACAGAAATGCAGGTCCATTATGTGTCAATTTTGCCTAAAAAAGAAAAAAATAAATAAAAGCATATATTTGCAGGTAATGGGCTGAAAGGATATTCTCCAAGGGTTTTCTTTTTTTTTTTTTTTAAGATTGCATTAATTTATTTGAGAGAGAGAGCATGAGCGGGGGACGGGCAGAGGGAGAGGGACAGAGACAAGCAGACTCCCCAGTGAGCTGCGAGCCCAACGTGAGGCTGGCTCCCAGGACCCCAAGATCATGACCCCAGCGGAAGTCTGACACGGAACTGACTGAGCCACCCAGGCGCCTCTCTCCAAGGGATTTTAAATCCTCTCTGGACAGACTGTGGGTGGCTTTCTCTCCTTATTTCACAACTGCTCTTTTAAAAGTTATTTTTAAGTAGTCCTACCCAGTTTTCTTTGCAAGGGACACCTTCTTCCTCAAACTTTTCCTGCGCCCCCGCCAAAGGAAGAACCAAGGTCTTCGTTAAAATCCCTACACTTCCCGAAACCTAGCTTGGGGTTTTCACCGTGTTTCAGGTGGTCCTCAGGCCCCTGCGTGCATGTCACCTCCCCTACACGCCTGGACAGCACTGCACCAGGGTCCGACGTCGCTCTCTGTCCCTGCCGCACCGCCTGGATCTGACTGTCCGATCCGCCCGGTTATTGCAAAACGCACACAAGATCTGGTCTGAAGGTCTCGGAATCGGCTGAATGGAAATCCAAAGGTTGACACCGCTGAGACACAGTGCCAGGCCGGAACCGAGGCCCTGCAGGCCAGCTGCACACCTCTCCCCCCGCGGGAATCACTCGCGCCACCCGGTTGCGGTTCGGGGCGGCGGGGGCGGAACGAACTCGTCCAAACACAACGCGGAGGTTGCCCGGCGAAGTTTGTCCCTTTGGAGGCGCCGTCCCCCTCGGCGCCCGGTTCGGGTCACGTGAGCGAGACGCACTCCGGGCCTGGGGCGGAGAAGGAGGTGACGAGAGCTGCGGGATCCCGGGCCCGGCGGACGGCGGGCGGGATGGAGGCCACCTTGGAGCAGCACTTGGAGGATACGTGAGTAGCGCGGCGCGGGGACTTGAGCGGGACACAGGGCGCGCGCTGCGAGTGCCGGCCGGGCGTGTTGGGGACGCCCTGCGACCCTCGGGTCGGGGAAGGGGGGGTGTTGAGGCGGCGAACCCTGTCCCGCGGCCGCGGGGGTGGCGGGAGTGACCCGGAATTAAAATCCCGCAATCCTGCCGGGGCCCCGCACCCTCCTTCCGGGAGCTAGTCTCCGCAGCCCAAAGCCAAGGCCAAAACCGCCCGTCGTGTTGCAGTTGTCTGTATGGCAGGGTCATTCTTCGGGAGTTTTAGGAAATGGGTTAATTTGGGGGAAGGTTGTACCAGGTGTGCAAAGCGAGCCCTGCAATGTAAACATAAACACACACGTCTCTCCTCCCGTGTGTAGCCAGTTACTTGGTGCTTAAGGAAATGAAAGACATCTCTTAAATTTTTGAACAGGTAATACCCACCTAAAGTATAAAATTGAAAGTATAAGAAGGCGCCTCCCACCATTGCCCCTCAGTTTCTCCCACTTCCCCTCCTGGAGGCAACCGGTGTTAGTTTTTTCCGCATCTTTAACAATGATGACGAAATATTAATATTGCCATATTTGTGGCCCTCCAAAGCTCAACAGTACCTGACCCAGTCTTTTCTCCCATCAGACGTAAATTGGTTTAACTATTAAATTTACATTAGTTCATTGTAATTTAATTTTTCTCCGGGGGGGGGCGGTGATAATGAAAAAAGAGAAACAGTGGTTTAAAGCGCAACAATGCCTGGTACAAAGAAAAACCTGTATGTGTTGTTATAATTATTTAAATTAATTTTCTGACATCATCTGCTTCATTCCTCTGGTGCTCCTGGAATTAGAATGAAGAATCCATCCATTGTTGGAGTCCTGTGCACAGATTCACAAGGACTTAATCTGGGCTGTAAGTATCTCACGATCAACTCTTTGATTGATTGCAAAGCACTTGATATTGACTGGGAGCCTAGTGTGCCGTTCTCTCGCTTGTACTTCTTGTTATCCTGCCCCTTTCTGGGTACTTTTGTGAGAGTAGAGTTTATCTCCAAAACTGAAACTTTTCAGTTGGTATTTATGAAGGTAGAAGTGGTCCTTGCAGTTCTAACAGTACAAAATTGTTTCTACTAAAATAGTATTGAATTATCTTAAATTGGGTCTAGCAAGGACTTGAGATCACGACATCAAGTTCCATTTGTTGAATGTGTGCAGACTGCTAAGGTCTGTGTACTTTATCTCTACTTTTCACAATAACCCAGCAAAATAGTGCTATTTTGTAGTCCAGCTACACTTAACAGTAAGAGAGTAGGCGGTAGAAATGGGAGCTTCAGAGTTGAACACACTTGGGTTCAGCCCCCTGCTCTTCCTTTGCTAATAGTGTGACCTTAGACCAAAAATAGCCTTTCTTAGCCTTAGTTTCTCTACTGGGTTGTTTTTGCTGGTTGGTTAGTTGGTTGGTTGTATAGATTTATTTTCAAAGGGCAAAAACTCTTAGACAATTTCAATACAAGTCTAAACAGAATTACTCTGTCAAAGTCAATGATAATGCCAAAACACGTTGTCACTTCCAGACACTCACCAGTATCTTCCTTGTCTTCTCTAAGTGAAGAAAGGGGGTCTGATATTTTATTCATATACATCCTTCTTATCTGCAATGTAATATACAATTTCTTGTGGACACATTAACTTCTCCACAACTGTATCAGGAATTTCAAACCCAGAGTCATCCTCCATGGCCAATATAATAATCTCTACTTGGTCCAAACTGTTTAAGCCATTTGGTCTTTCATCAAATGGGAATTTACCTAGAGCTTTTCTGGGTCAATCTTGTCATTGAGTTTTAAGACTTTTTTTTTTTTTTTTTTGGTAAAGAATATGGTCCTTAATTCCCTCTCACATCAGAGGAGGCGCATCACCATACAGGTAGCTCGCTTGGGTAACTGCCCGGACCCTGCGTGAGCACCGAGGCCGCCTGCGCAGGCACAGCCCTCATGCAGACCCCCGTGGGGCACAGGGTGGTGCTGAGCAGCCAGGCCTTGGCCAGCGAAGGGGTGTTGGGCAGCAAAGGTCTAGGGCACTTGGCTGACATGGGTGGAAAGGACACGAGCTGCTAAGGCCATGCCAACCCAGGATCTCCATACTGGGTTGTTTAATAATGATAGTAATTATTTATTATGCATTTATTGAGTGCCCGCTATGTGCTGAAGCACCATTCTAAGTGCTTTACCCAAACTCTAAGTCATTTAATCCTTGTAACAACCCTGTGAGGCAGATGAAGAAATTGAGGTTGAGTAACTTGCCCCAGGTCATAGACTAGGATTGAGCTAGGATTTCAGTCTGGCTCCAAAACCTCTTAGTCACAGTGCTGTAAGATAATATACTGTGTGTGAAACACTCAGCACAGAACCCAGACATGATGCTCAATAAATGTAAGAGTTACAGATGAGGAGATAAATCCTGAGAGGTAAGTAACTAAAGCATTCAGCTAATTCATGTCAGAACTCATAAACCAAGGACTCCTGCCTCCTTGCTCCTCTCTACTGCAGGAATTTTAAAGCTCTGAATTTCTGCTGGGAGGGTAACTGAAAGAGGTAATCTGTGTAACTCAGATTTTACACAAATCATTTCGTTGGGAGAAAAAAGGCAGATTTACTTGAGGTGCTTGTTGAAGGAAAGCCTGAAATCCAGGTGTGGAAATCTAAGAAATAAGCTCCTTCAAGAAACCTTCAAGGCCCAAAAGACTGCACGGTCTGTCCAGTTAGCGTTTTATGTAACCGTAGTAAATCCACGGACTCTGCCATACTGGTGTGTCTGTTACCTGCCACAGTTCCAGGCAGGCGAGCTTATGCTGCCTTCATATGTGGAAATATAGTGTAAACTTAGTAATTACCTTTTGTATCGGGCACCCAAGATTTAGTTATTATCTACAGGCTAAAACAAACATTAACAAAAGCCAGTTAAGTTTGTATTTGAAAACACCCAGCTTATTCTAGTTGAAATAACTGCTCACAGAATATTCACGTATACTGTCAAAGTGACTTTACAGCTGAACTCCTAAGTAAAGACTTTTGTATCCTTTGAGGTTGAGCTCACTAAAAGGAAATCAGATTTCCCATGAGGAATTAATTAGTTTCACAAGTCTCTTGCCCTTACTGACTGCTTTTTGTCAAGCTCACCTCTGAGTGTCTTGTTGGTTTCACTAAGCTTCCTGTAAAAGGAATTTATGGCTTTCAGATTGACTTGAATTAGAGCTTCCTTATATGTGTGAGAAGGTGTTTAGAGATGGTGATGAGAGTGATTGAAAATTGAGTGTCTCCTGACGCTTTCTTGATGTAAGAACTATTGTCTGGCTTTCTTGTTTATGTAACCAGCTGAGTATCAGGATAAAATCATTTCATGTCAGTACCTAACCTAAAAGACCATGAACTGAGCCTTCTTTTTGTGAATAAATCAATGAGAGATACTACTATAGCTCAGTACTCATTTTTGGACAATCGGGTGACATGATTACATCTGTCTTCCAGGCCGTGGGACCCTGTCAGATGAGCATGCTGGGGTGATATCTGTTCTAGCCCAGCAAGCAGCTAAGCTGACCTCAGACCCCACTGATATTCCTGTGGTGTGTCTAGAATCAGATAATGGGTGAGTAGATGTTGACGGATCCTTTCCTTTTTAATTAGAAAAGTTCCTGGGAAGGTTGAGTGGGGCCTGCCCTGTGTTATTAGCAATTTCCATTCAAAAAACTTGGAGGGAGGTTCCTCACCCTTTGGACCATAGGAGGAAATAGACTGATCTCTGAAGCTAATGTACTTTCAGGACCACAGTTATTTAAATGAAGAGCAAAAATTGTCATGACTATTGGTCTATCAAGAAAAAGAAAGTAATAAATAGTACAGGCGAAGACCAACCAAAGGACAGAAACTACTTCTGTAGTAATAGAAATACTAAAGATATTCCAAGTGAGCATCCTCAGAATAATAGTAAATGATGAAAGCAGAATACAGAACTGTGCACCGTATGATCACAGTTTTGTAAAAAGAGAAAAAAAATGCATGTATGGTATACATGCAGGTAACAAAACACAGTAGTGGCTGTCTTTGAGCAGTAGGATTATAGATTCATTTCATTTGTATATTTTATACTTTTCTGTATTTCCCAAATGTTTTCCTGTGTTCATATATTGCTCTCAAACATTAAAAAAATGATAAATAGTATTTTTTTAGTTGCATCCTAAACCAAACAGCAGCTTTAATCTTCAGCAGACTCCCACTTACACAACATTTTACTGAATATCTTCCGCTTTGCCTTTCAGGAACATTATGATCCAGAAACATGACGGCATCACTGTGGCAGTGCACAAGATGGCCTCTTGACGGCTTATATCAGTTCTCCAGCAGCCTGTCACCAGGGCTCAATCCTACCTGTGTAAATGATCTTGTAGAACTATGAAAGTCCCAGTAGTTAGGCCATTTATTTAGTGTTGTATTGGGCACATTTCTATTAATTTTAGAGTAAGCTGCTTTTTGACACTCAGTGGACTGACTTAACCCAAATATTAGTAAGAAAGGATCATGTTTTGAAGCAGCAGGTCCAGGTCACTTTGTACATAGAGTTTTCTTATGTTCAATAAATCTGGTCAGAGGAAAGCTTGGATCTCCTGGATTCTTTAAATTCTTATCAAATTTTTTTTTCAATTATCAAATTGTAATTTTTTTTTAAGTCTTTGTTCCAAATTACTCTCTTCTCTTTCCAAAGCTTCCTTTAATTCTCACTGATAACCTTATTTGGTATGTACTCTTAGTTGTCCCATTTTGCATTTGTGTAACTAAGGCTAAGGGATTTGCAGAGTAACCATTTGGATTTTAGACTCCCCAGCTCAGGGGCACCTGGGCGGCTCAGACGGTTAAGCGTCTGCCTTCGGCTCAGGCCCTAATCCCAGGGTCCTGGGATCGAGCCCTGCATCGGGCTCCCTGCTCGGCGGGAAGCCTGTTTCTCCCTCTCCCCCACCTCTCCCCCACCCCATTCATGCTCTCCCTCTCTCTTGCACTCTCTCTCAAATAAGTAAATAAAATCTTAAAAAAAAAAAAAGACTCCCATCTCTGAGCTTGTACTTTGAACATCATACCATTATAAAAAATATGCATGTTTGGCCAGGAAAAAAAATCTGCCATCTGAACATAAGACAACATTATCTTTTCTTTAACCTTATAAAGGTAAACTATAAATTCTCAACAGCGGAATGGTGCACAGGCAGGTACAGGTGACCTCATTTTGTTGAATTTAAATGCAGCTCCTGTTACTCTTTAGCAATTTAATATTTGACAGTATAAAAAAATCTCCAGAATGTTATTTATTCAAAAATACCAAGCATCTCCAAATATAAGATACTATAAGAGGATACAAAGATTGTGCATAAGACCTGGTTCCAGCCTTTGAGTTCGTACTTTGATAGAAGGGATGTGCATGTATATTGTCTTCACCAATACCTGACATGTAGTATATATGTTTGTTTTATATTTTAAAATATGTTTGTATGTTATATGATATTTGCCTGTCTTGCCTGCCTCTGCATAGGTTTTAAGGGCAGGTGCTTTGTCTTATTCACACGAGTGTATTCCAAGTACTTAGAACAGTGCTAGGACATAGTAGTCACTGAATACTTGCCAGGTAGAATAACCTATACCTAATAGAAGAGAGTTTTGTAGAAAGACCTAGGACGTTCCAGGCAGAGAGAGTGGCAACAGCAAACACTGGTGATAAACCAAGAGGACTGTTTATGTAATACTAAATGCTTTAGTTTGGTCTGTGAGGTAGGAGGTGAAAAAGCTGGAAGGTAGGGCAGCTACCTCAAGGAACTTGAATATCTACTTTTTAAGAGTCCTGGGCCTCACCCTGTTAGCAGAATGGAGTTCGGAGTAAATAAGCATCAAATTTGAGCTTAAACATTAGTCTGATGAGGTAGACCAAACTCACTTTTCTTCAAGCAGAAAAACTTCCTTTTAGTATGTATTTCCAATTCTTAACCCTGAGTGATAAGAGCCCATCTTTTAAGTTTTTGCTACATGCTAGACACATGCTAAACAATTTACATGCATTTAGCTCATTTAATCCTCTTAGAAGGTATTATCCCCATTTCAGAGAGGAAGAAATAGGCTCAGCAAGATCAAGTCCTTAGCTCAGGATCAAATATGAGAGACAGAAAAAAAAAAACTGGCAGAAAGGAAACAAAAGAGAATGAAGAATTAAAGATAATTGAATTGTCTAATCTAGAGATAGGAAGAACTAGGTGCCTTGGAAAGAAGCACTCAGAGAGAAGGATTAGAGAGCAAAGATGTCTGGGTTTGATAATTAGACATGTGAACCTTGAATTTTTTTTTTAAAGATTTTATTTATTATTTGACAGAGCCACCGCGAGAGAGGGAACACAAGCAGGGGGAGTGGGAGAGGGAAAAGCAGGCTTCCCGCTGAGCAGGGAGCCCGATGCCGGGCTCGATCCCAGGACCCCGGGATCATGACCTGAGCCGAAGGCAGATGCTTAACAACTGAGTCACCCAGGCGCCTGGAACTTAAGTTTCTAACAGGACATGCTGATGGTAACGCTCAGGAAAAAACATGTAGCAGGTGCTCACTTTGTAGCAGGCACAGTGCTATACCTCCCATAGCCTGTAGAACAAAACCTGAAACTGTTACCGTGGTCTCCCAAGCCCTGGGAGATCCCGTCCCTGCCCACCCCTTACGCCACATCTCAGACCACCCTCTGCCTACACATAGCCCCTCTGTCTAGCACAGTGCCTGGCACATAGGAGGCAACTTTATTGAATGAAATTAATAAACGAGCATCCGTCCTCATTTATTCTTCATAACAAGCTTCAAGGTAGGGCAGGGTGCACCCACATTTATGGATGGAAAGAGTGCTGCGAAGAGCTCAGGGCTGAAGACTGCTGATTTTCTGGTCTGTACAGAGCTGCAGCGAAAGTAGGATTGTATATGATCCTAAGCCGCTGAAGTGGGATTGTGTGTGTGCGCATATACGTAGATCTACTGGTTCTGTTTCTCCTACAATCTCTGTATATTGTTAGTCCTCACAAAAAAAACTTGCAAAGTAGTACCAGCGACATTTTACAGATTTGAAAACAGACTCAGGGTAACCTGTCCAGAGTCTCCAGGCTTAAAAAGCAGCAGAGTTGAGATTCTAATCAAGTCTGCGTTTCGCACATCTGAACGCTCCCTGTATGCCGTAGGTGCTCAGAGCAGTTCATCCGAGGACTGCGCATCCCTCCCAGCCTCCGAGAGTGGCTGACTGTTCCGCCACACTTTGAACCTGACCTCCAGCCCTCAGCATCAGAGCTCTCTATGGATAGAAAGCCTAGCCTCAGCTCAGCCTGCTATCGGAATCATAGATAGCCCTGCTTTAAAAGAACAAGTCCTCCCCACACACGCGCCCCCAAAAATTAGTCCCACGGATGTTTACTCGAAAGCGCTTGTTAATATGTAAGTACAACACACTAACAATTAGGAACATTGTTAGTAACCACAAATAACTGTCTGAAAAGCCTTCACCTTCTCTCTTTAGGGTTTTGCCCTCTGCTGAAGGTCTGTTGGATCCTTAGCACCAGCACCACACAACTGCCTAATCCTTTCCATCTGTAACACTTGCAGGGCATCTTCCCAGCTGTGCTTCTGCTGGCACTTTCATCAAAAAGTATCACGGAGTTTGGTTTTAAGAGCCTGAGAAACCCCTTATTTTTTATAAAGGAGGATGCATAAATATGTGCAGATTTTCCAGATAAAACAAAAACGCACTCCGGTTCAAAACCTAGAATGTTGGTGCTGGGGAGATGAAAGGCGATTTCCTGTTGCCTTTTTTATTATATTTTCCTTTTTGATGTGGAGGGTGGGACAGAGGAAGGAAATGGGATAAGAAAGCTGAATTTTCCCAGTCATTTTCGAGGAAACTTAACCATTTCCAAAACGCAAGAAAGGCTTCGTTAAAACTACAAGTATATACGTTCCACGGGAGGTGTCTGGAATTAATGTGATCAAGAATTAAAAAAAGGAAGTGGGGCTTCAACTCCAGATTACTAAGTAAAATTAGCCAATACACAAAAGGTCACATAAATAAGCAGAACTTACTGCAGACTGCCATCTGTAGCCAGGAAACTCATCTCCCAAGTCTGGGAGAGTTGTACGTTTTCTGTAAAATTAGCATGTCCTGAGGAACTCCCAGAGGAGCAGCACCGGGATCAAAGTTCTGCGGCCCCACACCCCGCCTTCAGCATAGTGTTAAACAATAAACTGAGGTATATTAAAAAATTATAAGGGGCGCCTGGCTGGCTCAGTCGGTGGAGCATGCAACTCTTGATCTCGGGGTGTGAGTTTGAGCCCCCATGTTGTGTGTAGAGATTATTCAAATAAACTTTACAAGAAATGTACATATAAATAAAAATAAAAAACACGTTTGACTTTCCTTCCTTGCTTTTCATGCAGATGTTTCCTTTCACCCTTACTATTTTTAAGTAGTTTTAATTACATATATTAATTAGAATTCTTAACCCTTGGAATCCTGAATTTCTTATGAAAACAGAGAAGCAACCAATTGTGGACTGTTACACTGGTATTCCATGGACTGGCAAATTTATAAATCTCATAATTTCTAGTAGTGTGTCCCTCCTCATAGCAAATTTCTCACTGTGGCACAAAACATACTTCCCAAGACTCAAACATCCTTAGTTCCTCTGTATAAAAAGCCAAAAGTAAATAAACTTAAGTTCAATAATTAGTATTCTAGTATTTTATCTTATTTGGAAATGGTGTAGATACTCAGTGAATATCCGTTATTTAACCTAACTTAGTATAACTTTCTCCTAGTTTCCAAGCAGCGCCCCTACCCCCAACCCCGGTTTCTTTTTGTCCCTTCTGATAAGAATTAAGTGAAGGGGGGGAAATCGGAAGGGGAGACGAACCATGAGAGACTATGGACTCTGAGAAACAAACTGAGGGTTCTAGAGGGGAGGAGGTGGGGGAATGGGTTAGCCTGGTGATGGGTATTAAAGAGGGCATGTACTGAATGGAGCACTAGGTGTTATATGCAAACAATGAATCATGGAACACTACATCAAAAACTAATGATGTAATGTATGGTGATTAACATAACAATAAAATAAAATTTTAAAAAATTTAAAAAAAAAAAGAATTACCTCCCTGAAGTCTGCATTTCAAAGAAATGGCTCTGGGTACCTAGAGAACAGAAGTAGAACATTTACATCTCAAAGGCACAGGGAAAAGATATAAATTCCACCAAAAAGGATTTTTATTCCCTAAATCCAGATGTTTTACAGTACCCTGCAAGTCTTTTGAGATGTACAGGAGAGGTTTGGGTATGGTAAAATGGTTAGTGTGCTTTGAACCGTTTCTAGAGCCACATTTCTGTTCTTGTAAAGATGAGATTTGTCAGGACAGGACAGTTGTTTTTAATTCCTCAAAGAACTGGGTTGCAACCTGAATGATATCAACAGGCTGACTGACCCTCCCATCCACCCGCATGATCTTCAATTTGCGGCTTTATTTATTATTCATTAGGGGGATTTTTTTTTTTAAGATTTAATTTATTTATTTGACACAGAGAGAGAGCACAAGCAGGGGGAGCA